TCATCTGGCACCCTTCTGAATGAGAACCCCAAAGTACTTCTTGTATAGAAGTGTTCTTGGGTTCTCCCCAGACTCCTCCCTCTCCTTCAGCCATGTTGATGGCAGAGGTAGGGAAGATAAGAATTTACAACCCATTTCCTGCTGGAGGAAAACCTGTCATCTGACTTTTCAGAGAAGGTTGCACCATAGCTCCTATGCTCATAGTTCATTGTCTGTACCATGTGCTAGAATATAACATTTAAAAGGACAAAAAATATAAAATACTTGAATGAGCTTGTATCATATCATGTTATTGAGAGTATCTGCTTTCCAGGAAAAAAAATAAAGAAGTGAGGTTTGCCATTCTATGATAAAAGCTTGTTATCATCCTTTCTTTGAGCAACCTAAATTCTCAAGTCCCTGTGCCAATCAGCAGATTTGCAACAACCAAATAAAAAGGGGGAGATTTCACTCTTAATATTGTCCTATCAAATACTTCTGTTTATATGTTCCTTAGATAACTTTTTTCCATGAAGGCAGTATTTTTAAAAATTAATAATGGATATATGCTAAGGTAACTGAATTATGGATCCCATGCTTTCAGGAAACAAAATATTCACTTATCACACAAAATGTTGCAGCTTTTATTTTTTTTAACTGAGCTCCTGTGCAGTGGACTGGCAGGGTTTCTGCATTTCCCACCAGAAAACATAAGTATCCACGTTACACAACTGTACTAAACTAAGCAAAACCAAATACACATTTTTAAATACCAATGTGGTAAAACCAAACAAACAACAGGGTTTGTACAAAGACTGCAAGAATTCAACACAGAATTAAAACCTTTGTAATGTAATGAAGTAAATTTTACTTCCTGCTTATTTGCATATTCTTATACCGATTACCTAAGACATAAAAAGGGAGTTTAAGTCATGACTCTGGACTCCCAAATGCTCATACAGAGGGCAACAACCTAGCAATGATGCATTAGTTTATTCCAGGATTTAGAAAGCCAGGATTTAGCAATGAGGCAATAGTCTATTTCATGATTCAGGATGAAACTGAACTATGAGTGCTATTTAGTCCTATTTAAACCAACACACATAGATGTCGATGCATGCTTAGATGTAGGTGGCACAGCAATGCCGGTTCCCATATTTTCCCAGCAGCCATCCTTATGGCTTCTGAGACAGATCCAGGTACATGTAGAGTAGGATGAGGCAGTGGACAGATGGATTGCTTGGGGCTCTCTCTACCTGTGTCATCACTGAGTTCATAAAGACAGGTGATGTTTCAAATCTAGATAATCACACCTGGCTAATATCAGGGAAGTAAATGACAGAAGTGACTTTGGGAATGTGAGGGGAGCAAATAACAGAAGAATGTGAGGGGAACAAATGGCAGAAGTAACTTTGTCTTAGTTAAGAGAGCCAGGAAGCCATCCTTAAAAGTAAACATGTAAGGAGACTAAAGGAGCAGTCCCCTCACCAAGATAATAAAATATAGAGGTCTTTTTCCTCTAGGAAAAATGCAGCATCTTTGAAAACATCCAAAGGGATAAGAAACAGGCTCCTCAAGGAAAGTAACAGAGCAAATATCTCACCAAGACAGCAAAAGGTGTAAAGTTATAAAGTATAAATGATGAGCCTCAAGACATGGACAAGTTGACAGGCCCTCCTGGAATGTCCAGTTTGATAAGGATGGAGTGGCCAGGTGGTCAGGTTCAGCAAGAAGTCAACTAAAATGACATCCAATCACAAACTAGTTTCAAGGTAGAATAGGAGGACCTAAGTCAGGCAGAACCCTATATCACTCCTTAGAGTTCACTTATACTAGGGCTTTAGTCTTCCTAAGCCCCTCCCATGCTGGGAACTTTTGCTGTCTTTTCAATAAACTCTTAACTCCTAGCCTGGCATCATCAATCATCGACTTCACCAGGACACAAACTCAGGATCAACAATCCAGTATCACTATGTCTGAAGCCAAATGACCACTTCACTCTTTGTCTACCACCTTGAGTAATTAAGAAGTTACCTTAAGTTTATAACTTGAATTTTGAAAACTTACAGAGGATTCATAAAAAAATTTTGTGTTTTAAAGAAAATCTGCAGAATATTTCCTAGAAAGTTGAAGCATACAAACGTATTCCAAGAAGCCCACTAGCACAGGCCTGTTCACATCATTCAAAATTCATTACAGTTGGAAAACTTTATTTTGAACAATTTACTATTATTTGTACTCAGGACACATGGTTTCTAGATTAACATTTCCTAAAGCAATAGCTATGGATTATCTCAATGTTCCTAAAAACTTTGAGAGCTAAGGAACCAATTCTCATTCACCAAAATCAGAGAAGAGGTTTGACTGCCTGGGCAAGAGAGAGCATGTTCCTTCCACCTTTTTTTCTTTTTTACGGTATTGGGGTTTGAACTCAGGACCTTCACCCTGAGCCACTCCACTAGCCCTATTTTTGTGATGGATTTTTTTTTTTTTTCAAGATAGAATCTCAGGGTGGATGGAACTGGAGAACATAATTCTCAGTGAGGTTAGTCTGGCCCAAAAGGCCAAAAATCGTATGTTCTCCCTCATATGCAGACATTAGATCAAGGGCAAATACAACAAGGGGATTGGACTTTGAGCACATGATAAAGCGAGAGCACACAAGGGAGGGGTGAGGATAGGTAAAACACCTAAAAAGCTAGATAGCATTTGTTGCCCTCAATGGAGAGAAACTAATGCAGATACTTTAAATCAACTGAGGCCAATAGGAGAAGGGGACCAGGAACTAGAGAAAAGGTTAGTTCAAGAAGAATTAATTTAGAAGGTAACACACATGCACAGGAAAGCAATGCGAATCAACTCCCTGTATAGCTATTCTTATCTCAACTAGCAAAAACACTTGTTCCTTCCTATTATTGCTTATACTCTCTTCAACAAAATTAGAGATAAGGGCAAAATAGTTTCTGCCTGGTAGTGAGGGGGTGGGGTAGTGGGGAGATAAGGGAGGGGGTCGGGGAAGGGGGGAGAAATGACCCAAACATTTTATGCAATATGAATAAAAGAAAAAAAATGTAATTGCTAACATGGTTGGATTTAAGTCTATAACTTTATTATTGTAACAATGTTTGTTTCCTATGTTTTTGTTCTTCTCCCTTTCCTATATTCTTTTTGATTATTTAAATATTTTTCAATATTATGTCTCATTTTATCTATGATAAAAAAAAGATAAGAGTCTCAGGAACTATTTGCCTCCCGAGTAACTAGGATAACAGGCCTGAGCCACCAGCACCCTGCTTTTCCATCTTTTTTAAAAGGCATTTTAGCCTCAGTAATTGAGAAATTGATTTTAAAAACCAGTCAAGCTAGGTAAATAAAACCTGCTAGCAAAACTCTTTCTTAGACATAACATTGAGCTTACTACAGGAAACAAATGACTTAATTTTTTTTTTTTTACAAATTTTCATTCTTGTTTGAGATTCATCCCAAAGAATTACGTGTTTTAGAAACCACTATAATCAATGATCAGCGTCTAGTTAATTCTGCCCTTGTGTTTGAGGTGTAAACTGCAGTGTCTGGTCAATCCAGATGTTAATCCCCTCTTAATCCACTTCTGTCCTCCTATAAGTAGAGATAAAATAAGAGTAAGTATTGGCTGGGCCTCCTTGTGAGAGGAGGACATAAATTCGCCAAACTTGCACATACTACCACCAGGTACCATCTGGGACTAAGGAATGAAGTGTAGTAATCCATGGATCCCGGTAGAAGATAGACAGGTGTCCAACCAAGGGAAAGCCGAGGGTGTCAGGCATTTCAGCTTCCTGGCTCTCCCTAAGGAAAGGTCCTGGAAGAATTTTAGAAAAGAAAACCAAGGACGAAATAGATGAGATTTCTTCTTTCAGACCTCAAAGCAACTTGTGAGATTACAACTATGTATTATTTACACAGTTCTCAGTCCTAAGAAAGAGTACACACACAAATAATTAACAACAAAGTTGTACGAGTAGTAAGAGAGGATTAGGACAACGGGGCTGGTGGGGGTGGGGGTGGCTTTACAGAAAGCGAGGACTGGGGTGTGTGGAGCCTTGGTGTGCTGTACTGCAAAGGCCCAGCTCAGGACTCTCAGCGCTGGACACCTGGCTCCTCAAGAGGGCACCAAAACCTCGCTCCCTGGCGACTTCTCCAGGCTCCCGGCGCTCCCCATCCCTGGCAAACGGGGTTCCCGCGGAGGGACAGTCATTTTCGGGTGAGATGGGGGAAAGAAGGGGCTGAGACAGGGAGGGGGGATTATCAATACTAAATCCAGCATCTTTCATCCCATTGCACAGCTCCGCTCTCTGCTCTGCCTACAACACACAGAGAGCGAGCCACGCTCCGCAGTTTTTTCCCTTTCCCTAGTCCTAGCAGCCTGGGCAATTGTCACCGCCTGTTCCGCCCCTCGGTGCACATCTCAGAGGCGTGGCACGGGAAAACGCGGACCTTGACAGCCTTTCCCAGGGGTTAAAGTGCACCGAGGAAAAGCCGACCAGGCCATAATGTTCCCCTACGTGAGCTAAACACAGACAGACGCTGCAGAAGTGCAGAAGCTAACGCAGAACCGAAGCCTGGTGGCGCCTGCGACAGTCTCGAGCCTCTCTCCTCCCGCGCGCAGAGGGCCGCCCCCGTGGGGAGCGTGGGGAAGGGCTAGAGGAATGGGTTTCCAGCTATACTGCCCCCTTCCTCCACTCTAACATGTCCTTGTGCCAAGTTCAGGGATCGAGCCCTGTCCTTCAGCTTCAGGGAGAGGTCAACGTGACTTCTGGGCGCTGCGGTTCTGGCACTGGGCGCGCACCGATCTCTCCTCAAGGGCTTAGCAAACTCAAATTGCGGATGCAGACACGAGGTATGGGGTAGGGCTTGAAAATCTTCACCCCTGGCAAGTTTCCTCCGGGGGCGCGGAGGCTGCCTGTCGGGAATCGAACTCTGGGGCTGAACTGGCTGCGGGACAGGGGACAGAGCTGCTGGGGCAGGGGGAGAGCAGGGCGTCAGGGGGCCGGGCGGCAAGCCATCACCTGGCGCAGGCTCCTGCGGAAGCTGTCGTCCAGGAAGGCATAGAGGAAGGGGTTGAGGCAGCTGTTGGCGTAGCTCAGGCTGGTGATGAAGTAGGAAATGGCAATGACAAGCGGCGTCTGCGGGATGTCAGTGGTGAGCACCACCACCGTGCTCAGATGGTAGGGTGTCCAGCAGAGGAGGCACACCACCAGGATCGCTACCACCAGGAAGGTCACCCGCTTCTTGGCGCGGTCCAGGGTCTTGGCGTGGCTATCCAGCCGAATGGCACGCAGCCGGCACAGCAGGGTGATGTAGAGGACGCAGATGGTAGAGACTGGGATGGCGAAGCCCAGCACCAGCGTGTAAAGGCGGCTGGCCTGCCACCAGAAGGCCTCAGGCTGCGGGAAGACCAGCACGCACTGGCGTCGGCCCTGCTCGTCGTCGAGCCGGGCAAAGACTGCGAAGGGCAGCACCACGAGCGTGACGATGCCCCACACCGCCAGGCTCACCGCGCGCGCGGCGCCGTACGTGCGGCCCACTACGCGGCGCGACTCGGCGGTGGCCAGCACCACCAGGTAGCGGTCTGCGCTCATGACCGTGAGGAAGTAGAGGCTGGAGAAGGTGTTGTACTGGTCGATGGCAACGATCAGCTTGCACATGAGCTCTCCGAAGGGCCATTGTCGCAGCAGGAAGTCGGCGATGTTGATGGGCAGCACAAGTGTGAAGAGCTCGTCCGCTATGGCCAGGTTGAGGATGAACAGGTTGGTGACGGTCTTCCTACGCGGAGTCCGAAGCAGCACGTACAGCACCGCGGAGTTGCCCGCCAGCCCCACAGCGCAGATCACGGCGTAGACGACTGGCACGGCCACCGCCAGCGACTGCGGAAGCGGCAGCGGCGCGGGACTTGACGCGTTGGAGCAGCCCAGCGCCGAACCTGGGCACGAAGCGTTGACCCCGCCCGGCTCTAAGAATGTCGCGTTGTGCATCTTGGCGAGGGTAGGGGAACCGACGAGCCCGAATCCACCACGGCCGCTCTGCGGGGCTCAGAACCCCAGAAGCCCGCGTTGGCAGGGACCTGCACCTGGGCACTGGCTGCCTCGCCCTGAGTTTTTTCTGGAGCGTCCTTCCCGGCCACCTCTCAGCCTACTGTCGCCGCGGACTGACGGGGCTGGAAAACGAATTGAAAAAATAGGTTAGGTTAGTCGACGTACAGCTTTAGGGAAAAGCGACGTCCTGAGCGGGGGCAGCTGAGCGCTCCAAACCTCTCCCAAGTGAGAGCCTTCTGCTACCCGTTGCCTTCTCACTGCAACCAGTTGAATACATCAGAGTGCTACAGAGAGAGAGTCCTTACTCCTCAGAGGAAAATGCAAACCCAGCTCCTCTGCCTCGGGACACCTGGCACACCCGGGTTACCCCACCGAACTCCGCGGAGGCAAGCTTTGGTCCCCCTACGTTTTTACCTTACCTGGCTGCCCACAGCCTTTCCTGGAGAGGTCAGGACCGCAGCCCCAAGGCTGCGGGGAGAGGCAGCGGAGCAGCCGCGCCGGGTAGCACCTCCCCTGTCCGCTGGGAAACTGCAGCTCACGCCTCCGCCTGTCGCTCCCGCACTCTTGAAGTGTGGGGACCGCGCAGCCGCCGCGACTGCTGTCTACAGACCCGATTGCCACCATCTCCCCCCCCTTCCTAATAAAACCCTTAGAACCAACCGGAAACAGCATTCCTCAAAATATAAGGGAATCTTTTCTTCCTGCCTGAAGTGTAAACTCACTTCTTCTGAAATAGCAAAAAGCTTTCCTATCAAGAATCGAACTTAAGAAAAACAGTTCAGATGTTAATGCTCTGTTTTTAAAGGAGAACGAGACATGTCAGGTCCCCATTTCAGGTTTAAACACCATGCCCCATACGGACATGTAACGTGGAATTTGAAATCACATGCATACCACATTGCTATACAGAAGGGGAACGTGAATACAATTTTAAAATGCAGATAACACGTTTTCTAATACTCTAGTCTTTAAAAGTTAAAAGACTGCTAATGTCAAATAATGATGGATAATTTGAGATACCTTCATGCTTTCTAAAAAACACATGAAAAGACTTGATTAATAAAGATGAGCAGCTTCTGAAAGCTTTTAGAGCTCCGTGACTTAATGCCTGTTTCATAAAATGGTGCAAGTTGTCCAACACATTCTCTTGATTTGCAAACTCTCCTTCCTGATTCTCAGCTGAGAGCTTCTTGCTATCAGGCGTGGGGTTGCCAAGGGAGGGACTGAAGAGGCAGACTTGGACTCCATTGTTGCTGTGTCCAGAAAGGGGAAATCATCTAAGGCACCCATCCAGTTCCTTTGAGGATTCAGGATTGAATAAGATCAACTAAATAGTGGTTCTCTTCATTCCTGTTTTTCCCTCCAACTCCCCTTTGAGAGAGCCAGCAAACTAAACCGCTGGATTCTTCCTTCTAATAAATTTGCTGTCACAAAAGCAGGTAAGACTCAAAGAGCTCACCTGGCCGATATGATACATTGTAATGGACAAACCGTAGTTTCCACATCTCAAGCAACCAGGGGAAGAAGTCTATGGGGCCAGAGAGACATAAGTTCCTGTCCCACCTTGTTCTCTTTCTGCCGGGATCTACACACAATTAACTGAAGAAAATGGCAGGAGAATGGCAGGTTGTGTCCATAAGAAACACTCTGGAAGAAATCACCATATAATGTTAAGCAAAGCAAAATAGATTATATATGTAACACACATTCACATATATCTGTGTGTGTGTTCATTGTGGTATATAGTTGATAATTTTGAAACATTTGGAGATTTTACTTTTGATATTATTGATTTCCAGCTTAATTGTACTGCAGACAAAGAACATGCACAGTGAGTTGTCTCTTCACAGGAATTGAAACATACTGCCTTGTAAATATTTTTCTGATGATTTCACATATGCTGGAAAATAATGTGGTCCTCATTTGTTAATTACAAAACTCTACATATGTCAACTAGCCAAATTTATTATTGTGTTGCTCGAACTTTCTCCCTATTGATATTTTTATGTTTTATCAGTTACAGAAAGAGGTATGGTAATCTCAATCAGTGATTGTGGATTTATCTATTTATGCTATTAATTCTGCCAATTTTTATTACATAATTTGATACTATATGATCAGGTGCACACATTTTTTACATTTTCCCTTGAAACGGGTCCTTTTGTCATTACAATCTCCATTGCTGCTTCTTGCTGCATGTAGTCAGTCTCCTTTGTTGATATCGTTAAAGCTACACCATTTCTTAGAATTATGATGAAATATCTTTTTAAAACCCTGTTGTATGTTGTGTTTTTTAATCCTGTTTGTATATTTAAAGTGTTTCTGTGTAAGCATTGTAAAGTATTTTTAATCCAATCCAATAATATTTGTCTTGTTTTTACGAGGGGTCTTGAATACCTGAGCTTAAGTGGTCCTCTTACTTAAGCCTCCTAAACTGCTGGGACTACAGGCATGTACCACTATTCCTGGCTCAATATCTGTTTTTAAGTTGGAGAAATAAGTTCATAACATACCTAATGCTGTTAACATTAAGGTTGCTATGGTCTGAATGTGTTCCCCTTAAAATTTTATATACAGAAAATCACAGTTGTGATGGCTGACTTAAGATTTTTCAACTTACCAGGTGCTGGTGGCTCACATCTGTAATCTTAGCTACTTGAGATCTGAAGGATTGCAGTTTGAGGTCATCCCAGGCAAATAGTTTGTGAGACCCCATCTCCAAAATAGCCAAACCAAGATGGACCAGATGTGTGGCTCAAGCAGTAAAGTGACTACTTTGCAAGTATGAAGCCCTGAGTTCAAACCCCAGTCCCAACAACAAAAAAATATTTTTCAACTTTACAATTGCACACAAAAAAATACACATTTAACAAAAAAACACGCTTTGGCTTTTGAATTTGCGATTTGTTTCATCAATTGTAATAAGTGTATCATTAATTCAAGATGTTAGTAGCAGAAGAAAGTGGGAGGAGGGAGCTAGAAGAGACATAAGAGAATTCTTTGTATTTCTTAGAGAGGGAAAATAAAAGAATTCTCTGTATTTTGTGCTCAATTTTTCTGTGAACTAAAAAATTGCCTAAAAAATAAAAGTGGCAAAAAGTAAAATAAATTAATAATAAAACAATTGGAAGCCATTTCAGAGATCTGTAGATGTGGTTAAGTTAATGAGTTGTTACAAAACATGGTGAATTTACACTTATTTAGTTATACAAGAAGACAGTCAGATCATTTATGTTATCATATTTTCTCTGATTTTTACTATACTAGAATGAAAAACCAAGAAATGAATGGAGGTTTTAAATTTGTTGATGAATCAAAAATAGTCAAAGCTAAATCCTTTCACTTGTGTTCTTACACCCATTTCAATACCAAGTCAACATTCAGATTCACATATGGAATATATCTCCACTGCTCTTGCCATTTTAATTTAGATCTGATCCATTTCTTTCAAGAGAGCCAAAGGAAAGAGAAGTTTAATCAGTAGCCAGCTAACCTGGTAAACATTTTCTTTAGGAAATTCATTACTCATTCTCTTGGTGGCTGTGCTAGCATTCCATTGCTGTGACAAATACCTGAAATAATCAACTTACAAGAAGCAAAGAATTATTTTGGTTCTCAGTGTGGTCACTTAGCCGTGTTAATTTGGGCCTGTGGTAAGGCAATACCTCATGGTCAAACCAGGTAGTGGAGCAAAGCTGTTCATCTCAGGGCAGCTAAGAAGCAGAGATAGAGACAGAGAGAAAGGGTTGGGGGTCCCAACACCCCCTTTGAGGGGTGGAACCTGATAAAGGTTCCACCACCATGCAACAGTGCCACAGGTTGGTGACCCAGCCCTTAACACATGAGCCCAGGGGACACATTCAAAGTCCAGACTCTTTTAATGACCTATCTCCTATGTTCACTACAGGGTTACAGCTAGCACCTCCAACCAGTAACTTCAGGAAGAAAGACTACCTCAATTATAAGGAAATGACCTTTTGCAATCTGTACAAATTGGTTGCTATTTTTTATCTCTCTGAGGAATTAGTCCCAGATGGGCAACTATGATATTTTCTAATGTTAATAAACCATTTTTAACTTACAGAGTGGTTTGACAGCTTAGAAAGATAAAATGAGGCACACAAATGGTCAAAATACCACAAAATGTGTCTTTGTGTGGACAGTGAAGGGGCTGTCCATCCCAAAGCAACAGGGCTAAAAGTGGGTACACAATGAGGCTTAGTTTAGGCAGATGCTCTTTGGAAGACTTTTCATATAATAGAATAAGTTGCAGCATTCATCTGTGCTCATTTTTGGGTGGTTTATTTATTTATTTTTTTTTTGGTGGCACTGGTTCTTGAACTCAGGCTCTCATGTCTGCTGGGCAGACACTGAACTACTGGAGCCACTCCACCAGCCTGTGTTCATTTTTGAAACACAGTCACTTAGAGCTGCTTGGCTATTATTATTATAAAATGAAATACTTTTGATGACACGGAACAGATAACAACACTTTTCAATGTCTGCACTGTGCTTCTGAGGAAGGCGCTAAAGAAAAGAAGGAGAGGAGCACAGTGGTCAGTGAGTTTATTACTCAAATGTTCCTTTTCCTCATTACAGAAGGCATATCAGTAGCACACCGATTCGTGTAAAAACAGACTTAAATTCTAAGAATACCGTGCTTCTGTGCACTTTGCTGAAGCTAGCCAAGGCACCAGTTGTGAGAGAAATCGGGGCCCTGTAAGATCAAGGTTGCTCACTAGGTGGACTGACAAAGCTTTGTTCCCTATAACATACTTTGATTTTACTTTAAATATTGGCTTTCTTATCATTTTTATGTCTTCTTTGAACAATCTGATAATGCTATCCTTATGTTAACAATTATTCCATTTCAAACCCTGTGATGTCATTTATTCATTTTCTTTGCTTCCTCCACTAAGAGTCCCTCCAGCAATGCTAAT